GGGTTTTCAGATTGGGGGAAGTTTATTTTGTATTTTTTTCATCATCCCAAAAATTTTTCATTTTTTCCAGAAGCAGATCTATCAGAGAAGTTGATAATCCAATAATAAAAATTTCAACCTGGAGGAATGAATGATTAGATGAAAAAAGGGACTCTTTTTGGTTTTATTGTTGTGTTTTTGTACTCAACTGCAGGTGCTAGGCAAATGTCTCGGCTCATTCCCTAGTCCTGAATTCATTATCTACCCAGACAGTTGTTTGCAGCTGTCTACACAGATGTACCCATCAAATGCCATTCCCATAATGTTATCACCAGGAAGCCTCCAAGCCTGGCTCAGACAGGATTGTTTTGGAGTGAAAGGAGGAGAATAGAATCCTAGAACTTCTGAATTCTAGAATTGAAAGGAACCTCACATCTCACAGCAAAATCCCTAGCAAAGTAAGTGTTTGATTCTCTAACTTCTACTTGAAGAGCCCCGGAGGGCTTACTACCTCCTAAAATAACCCATTCTTCTGTCAAGGGATTCTAACTATTGGAAAGTTCTTCCTCATATTAAATCTACTATCCTATAATTTCTACCTTTTAATTCTAGTTTGACTCTCTAGGGCCCAGCAGAATATTTCTAATTCCTTTTCCTCACACTAACCCTTAAGATATGTGAAGTTAGTAGTTACATTCCCTTAAGGTCTCCTGTTTTATAGGCTAAGCATCCTTAATTCAACAGATTAATATACAACATGGTTCCCAACCTGTTGTCAAACTTATGGGCACTTGAAGCTAACACTGAGATAGGAATCTGTTTCTGTCTAAGGTTCTTCATTTGCTACTGTGTCATTCTCTGATGTATCCTGTCCTATTCACACATTTCTGTTGGCTGAATGCCAGGCCATCTCCCCATCAAGTGGACTATATATGATCATAGAATTTAAGAGTAGGAGGGACTTCAGGAACTATCTAGTTCAAAGCTCTAATTTTACAAATCACTAAGGTGAGACTCAGAGAGAAGACACGATCACCAAGGACAAGCAACTCAAACATTTCACCTATAAAATGACAAGTCAGACCAGAAGGTGTCTGAAGTCCCTTCCAGCTCTGATTTATTGGGATTTTATGAAATGGATACTCAGACAGATGAAGCCGCTGGCCCAGCATCACATAACAGAAGCATCAGACATGGAAAGGGAATCCGGGTCTTCTGACTCCAGATCATTTTATAAGTACAAGGGGAGCCTATTCTATAACTACATACCTCACAGAGTTGTTGGGAGGAGGGAGAATTGTTTTATAAGCCATAAAGTTGTATGTAAAAATGAATTATTAAGAAATAAAGAAAGACAGCTCTCCCCACTCTATTGCAGAGATAGGAAACTCAAAGGTAGATCATTACATATATTGTCAGATTGTTTTTGATGTACTGGTTGACTTCAATAACTTTTTCTACTTTCTCCTCTTTTTTTTTTCTTTTAAATATATTCTTTGTGTAACACTGACCACCCTGGTCCCAACTAGAGTACCTCCATGTTAGGTAAAAACTGATTACATTGGAGAGAATTCTGGAAAGATGGTGGAGTAGGTCAGAAAATTTGAAGCTTTCAAGATTTTCCCCCACAAAAGAGATGAAATAGCACCTCAGGGCAAATATAGAGTGCTAAAAAATAAGTAAGAGTAAAGGTAGAACAGGGGTTCTCTTGGGACAATCGGAGAAGATCTGAAGAAAAATCCCAGGACAAGATTTGGTACCTGTGAAGGGTAAACACCTCCAGTCTTGGTCCTAGATCCATTTAAACAATAAGTGGCAAATCCTGGGGTTAGCTAAGTTATGAGGCTGCCCAGCCCCAGCCCCAAGAACTGGGACAGTGAGGGGAATTGGACCTCTGAGCTGGGGAAGATCGAGGGAATTGCTGACAGGGAACACTAGACCCAGCTGTGCTGTGGAGACGTGGAGGGTGGCGAGAAGGAACCAGCACGTGCCCAGGGAATGCAGAAGCAATGAGGCTGTGGGCCTTTACAGGAAGCTGGAGGTCTCAGCTTAGCTTCCAAGCCTGAGGGGAGAACTGAAGGAGGATCTGAGGCCAGAAGCACCACCCCCATACCCCAGGACTAGAGGTGATTATAAAAAATGAAGCTATTACAAATAAAAAAATGAAGAGGCGAAGGAGAAAGAATCCAATCATAGAGAGTTACTATGGGAATTGAGAAGACCAGGGTTTGTCTTCATAGGAGGATACTGAAGCAAAGGAACCCTCTTCTATCCCGAAGAATAATGCCAAATGGTCACCTGCCCAAAATTCATATAAGAACTTTAAAAATCAAATGAAATTGAGGAAAAACTACAAAAAAAATGATACTTGACAAACAAGAAGACTATGAAAAGAAAGTCAACCAATTAGAAAAGGAGATCCAGAATCTTAAGGAAGAAAATGACTCATTGAAAATCATAATTGGGCAAGGGAAAGCCAGTGAAGTTATCAATAATTAAGAAATAATAAAAGAAAGTACAAAGAATGAAGAAAAAGAAGAGAATGTGAAACATCTCATAAGAAAAAGAATTGATATGAAGAACAGATTAGGAAGAGAAAAGATAAAAATAATCAGACTACCCAAAAGCTGTGATTAAAATAAAAAACATCTTGATACAATAATACAAGAAATAATTAAAGAAATTTCTCCTGAAGCATTAGAACATGAGTAGAAATAGAAAAAAATTCACCAATTACCACCTAAAAGTGATCCTATAAGGAAAATTCATAGGAATATTATAATCAAAGTCCAAAATCCACAGCTCAAGGCAAAAATATTATGAGCAACAAGAAAAAAACAATTCAAATATGGCGGTACCACAATTAGAATCACACAACACCTAGCAGTGGCGACACTAAAAGACTGCAGGTCTTGAAACACTATGTATCGAAGAGCAAAAGAAGTGGGGCTTCAGCCGAAAATATCATACCCAGCAAAAGCTAAGCATAATCCTGAATGAAAAAAAAAAATGGACATTTAATGAACTGTCAGACTTTCATGACTTCATTAAAAAATAAAACTAAACTTAATACAAGATTTGACACACAAGAGCCAAGAGAAATAGAAGGTACATACCAAAGACTAATTACAAGGGACTCAGTAAGGATAAAATGTTTACCTTTTATGTATGCAAAATGTAAAACATATGTCTAAAGTTGTTATTAGTAATTGGGTAGTTCATTAAAAAGATTGGGGTAGACTTGAGTATGATATAACTTTAAAAAAGTAAAATAGTTTGGGAACAGCTAAAAAGAGAAATTATCTCATACAAATGATGTGCACGAGGAAAAACCAACACAGAGGAATTAGATGGGTGAAGAGGGCTGATAGTTCTGGAAACCTACTTTCATTGGGAATGGGTTCAAGAGGGAATTTCATACACACACACACACACATATAAATTTCTAAATTTAGAAATAAAATGACATGGGGATAGAGAGGGGAGAGGATAAAGGAGGAATCTCTAGAGGAGAGGGTGAGGTAATAGGTTAAAGGGAGGGTTTAGAAAAGGGTTCAGATGAATTTGAATGGGAGGATGAAGGAGGGATCCTTGGGGGAGGGAGTAGTTAAGTAATAGGAAGGCAAGGTAGAGGATAGAAATAAAGTAGAGGAGTCAGAAGGGATAGGAAATAAGAGATATGCACAAATATAAAAACAAAGATCAGAAGTAGAATTTGTTAGGGAAAGTATATGTACATGTGTATATATGTGTGTGTATGTATATGTGTATGTATATATCTATACATAAATGTATCCAAGCTTAATTGTAGCCTTGGTGGGGGTGGGGGGAGGAAGGGGAAAAAAAGAACAAAATAAAAAGTGCATAGCAGAGAATAAAAGAAAACTTACAAGGAGGCAAAGAAAAGATGGCCAGCTCTCAACGTGTAGTATTTATTATTATAAAGTTTTCTTGAAATGGAAATTTATGGCTATATATTTTAAATCCTCACTAATGTTCTGCAGTGCACATGACATGCTTCTTTTTCTTTTCTTGTTTTGTATTTGTTACAATATTTAAGTTTATAATGTGTTGTTTTCTTTTCTTACTGTTTAAGTTTTAGTAATAAAAAACTGATTACATTTGTTATAGGAACACAAGAGAGATTTTTTTGAGATGTCAAAATTTAAAAAGACAATGAAAAAATATTTCTTTAAAAAATGTGACCTGATGTTGTAATGCCTTAGGAATATTTCAGGATATATACCCACTGCAATCCAGACCACTTTTAAAATCAGGGTACATCCTCTCAACTCCTGAGTTATTCTTTCCTTGGGATAAGGAGCCTTGCCAGGGTTGAATCCAGGGAAGCAGGAACCTGGGAGGGACAAATCTGAAGCTATGGCAGACAGCAGTGATATTCTGTCTCCATCAACATTCTCAGGGTTTAGTTGTTCATGATAAGTCCAACCCAAGAACTTAAAATGCATAATATATTTCTATTAGTAGTGTGTTATATTTATACATATGACTAAACAACTATGATTCAGTGAAATGTTATCTTAGTAATATCCCAAAAAGCAAGTCTATTTTTACAATCAAGTTATTAGAGAGGCAACATAGAATAATGAAAAGGGCCCTAGACTTGGAGTCAAAAACTTGGGTTTAAGTCCATTTCCTAGCTGAGACGTTCGACAAGAGAGTCTCTAAGTCTGGAGGTTCCTCAGTTTCCCCACTTATAAAATAAAAGTGCTGATCTCTAAGTCCCATTACAATGTTTTTCATTGGCTATATATTTTAAATCCTCACTAATGTTCTGCAGTGCACATGACATGCTTCTTTTTCTTTTCTTGTTTTGTATTTGTTACAATATTTAAGTTTATAATGTGTTGTTTTCTTTTCTTACTGTTTAAGTTTTAGTAATAAAAAACTGATTACATTTGTTATAGGAACACAAGGGAGATTTTTTTGAGATGTAAAAATTTAAAAAGTCAATGAAAAAATATTTCATTTCATTGTGGAGGGTGGTATTTTTTCCAGTTAAAAATATGGAATACTTCATGAATTTATGTGCCGTCTTTCCAAAAGGACCATGCTAAACTTCTCTGCATCATTCTAATTTTAGTATATGTGCTACTTCCTTTAAAGCAGAGGTGTCGAACACACAGCCCACAGGCTACATGAAGCCTGCACCACTCCCCAGTGCTGACTGTGTCAGATTGAAATATAACTGGGAAATATTTAATAAAATAAATAAAAATACAATAAAACACAGATAATATTACATTTTAAAACTAAGTCAATATGAGGCCCATAGGTATCTCTTATGTACCAATTAGTGGCTCCTGTTTCTGTCTGAGTTTGACACCACTACACTACAAGTTTAATAATGTAGGCTCTACAATCAAAAGTCCTTTCCAGCTCTAAGTCCCTGAGAAACTATGTTCTGTTAGCAATTCCTTTGTAAAATCATCTTATAAACAATAGTTTTCTTCATAATGGATAACATTTGGGCACTCAGTTCAAGGTCTGCATCTGGTTCAATCTAATTGACTTTTGATTACAAAAATTACTTTAGGATTCATCTATAGGCTCAGTCACTCCTAGGTCAGAAAAATGTACCCCTATTTATTCTGAGCACCTCCAGATTAAAAGAAAGTTCACATAGGAAGAATACTTCAACTATTTATCCCAACTCCCCAGTTTGGTTTGTGTGTATGTGCATGTGTGTGCATGTGTGCATGTGTGCGTGTGTGTATTTTCCTTCAATGAAGGAGTGTTGGGTACTATTACTTTTGACCTCAGTTCTGCAAATAATGTTGCTATAACTGGTTCACCATAGTCAAAAGTCAAGAAAGATATAATCTTGATATATAATAGATTGGGAATCAAAAGAAAGAGACTCTAGGCTAGGATCTGTCATAAAATTGCTATGTGTCCTTAGGTAGGTTACTTGACCTCCCAAAATTCCATTTTCCTCATCTGTAAAAGGAAAAAGTTGGTCTAGATCAAGTGTTCTTAAGCTGGTGCCCATGGGGTCCTTGAACTTGGATGGAGAAAAAATGAATAGAATCTATATTTCAATAAAGTTGGTTTCTTCATAATCCTACGTATGTAAAAACATTCTGAGAATGAGTTCATATTTTTATATATCATCCAATTGCCAAAAGAAGTCCGTGACTTAAAAAAAAAATTGAGAACTTCTGGGCTAGATAATGTTTAGGGTCCCTTCCACATCCAACATTTTAAGTTTTATTTCAACTTTTTTTTCTTTTAATTTTTTTTAAATACACTTTGTTTTATGTTTTAAGTTTCCTTCTAGCCATGATGTTCTATTTTCTAGGTTTGAAGGTCCCTTTCAATTCTAGCTTTCTTTGTTCTAAGGTCCTTTCTAACCCAAAACAGGCTTCATATGGAGATCTCTTCATGTTCTAATATTGTATGAGTTTTATGAGTTATTTACATCTGGCCTTCTCCAGTTCTGGAACGAGAAAGGCACAGAAGCTACTGCCCACCGTTTGGACAGTTTGGGGCAGCAGGATTAACATCTTACCAGGATGGAAAAATAGGAAGTGATAGCCTTACTCTCACAGAATACAGTTAGCATAATTTCCTTCTCATAGACAGAGAGAACCATAAAAGTATATATAACTAGATACGATATTTGAATCCATCTATTCCAATGCCCTCACTTTACAATGACGTTGGGGAACATGGGGGAAAAGACTTGATCCATTGGCAAGGGACCTGGGCTTGATTCCTAACTCTAAGTTACTATTGTGAATTCTGGTAAATTATTTAATCCCTCTCAGCCTCAGTTTATCTTTAAACGGGGATAATTAATCTGATACCTATCACAATGGTTCCTGGACAGGAAATAGTTTATACATCTTAAAGAATTATATAAATGTGATATGTCATTATTACAGATAAGCAAATTGAAGCCCAGAGAGGGGAAATTTCATGACCAAAGTCACAGAGGAAAATAGGTGTTAGACTCAGATCTCAGTTTTCCTGACTCAGTAAGGTCTGTGAGCTTACTGTGATAGCACCCAGTTTCGTGTATTTCTTCTTGCCTTCTTCTTCTGTGCAAATCTCTCTTTACTCTCATTCCTGAGTGAAATTGTGTGCCCAAAAAACCCTACTGCTGAATAAAATGAAGATTTTATTCTGTGCAAAGGCACAGAATTAAATATAATGTAGTTCTTCCTTTATAGAGAAAATTTGGGAAGCTACTTTGAAAGAAAACGTTCATAAAAAATAAAATGATAATTCATAATGATACGTGGTGGTGTCTAAACCAGAATGATACTTGAGGCCATGTTCTATTATGACATTACAATTGGGTAGATGGAAAAAAGTTAAAGGAACATTCCTGTTAAATAGATTTTCTAATGTGGATGCTTGAGGTGATGGATGTGACTAACACTCTCTTTTGTTTACTGTGCCATCCCAGAAGTCTGCAGGTGGATTCACAGAAGATTATATGCTATTTAATATATAGAATATTCACTAGACAAATACCACTGTCCTCAGTAATTACTCTTATGATGTACAGAAGAGCCGATGGCACTCTATTTTTGACAATGAGTTTCTATTCTATAAAATTTCATGGTTGTGGAAAGAAATTTCTTATTGATGGCTTTGGTTAATAGCATAGAATGCATACTTTCCTTCTGTAAAAAAAACAAACAAAAAAAAATCCATTTATTCTTCCTTGTACCCTTAGGGTTTTTATGTGTTTAATGGGACTTAATTAAATACAAAAGGAAAAGACATATTGCAGTCACCAGTGACTGCTGCTGGTCATAAACAGCATCACTGTACCCTGTAATCTTCTTGAATTGGTGTCCTCCAAAATAGTCATCCCCTCCCCAAACACACACACACACACACACACACACACACACACACACACACACACACTCTTTAATGTTGAGCCTTACTGACCTTCAGACCACATGAATGGGTAGCCATAGGCTGACTCACACAGACTTCAGCTAGCATGACATCCTTCTCCTGAATGGATAGAGGAATAGAAGGGGAGATTGAGGAAGGATTTTTGAGCAGATGAGGGATGCCACAATGGAATCATACCATACTGGCAGTTAATTCACATAGTTGAATTATATGCTTTGGTTCCTGTCTCATACCTGATCAATAGCTTAGCTATGTGTTACGAAAAAGAAAACTGACATTCAATTGTTTCCATAGCTGACATCTCTGATCTATTTATTTTCTAATAGACTGCCTCCTTTTAAATAGTTCCTAACTCCTTAGCAATTACAATTGTTTAAAGACATTGCATTATGTTTTATGGGTCATTTAAAGGGTTATTCAAGGACAATCTTGGACTATCCTCAATTTTTGTCTTGAGTACCAACCTTAGAACCTGACTATCCTATGAGATGTGATTCTCCCATTCATTATGTAACCAGCTATATTCTTGAAACCTTTCGATATGAGTAGCAATTCCCAGAGCTTGTGCTCCATTGTCATGGCCACAGGGTATTCAATTATTATGGTCCTGACCACAATGAGGCATGAGAAGAGGGCTTTAATGCAGGAACACTTGTTCAACTATGAAGAATAACAGATCAAATTTATTTATAATGTATTCAGTACATTTGCTTAGCAGAAGAAGAGAGGGATTTAAGGTTTGGAAAAGCACACCATAAACCTTAAAACACAATGAATATCAGTTGCTTTAAATAGTTACACAGCACCTTTGTTTTTTACAAAATACCTTCATCTTGCCCTATGAGGAATAATAATAATAATTGTTATTATTATTATTATTATAAAAACTAAGACTCACAGAAGTTAAGTGATTTACCTAACATCATATATCCCCTAAGTCTCAGAGATGGGACTTCTGACCCAAATCCTGTATTTTTTTTCCATCACCAATGCTACCTTTAGTTCTAATCCTAGTTCTATTAACTACTGGTCAAATGTGTTTATGCAACTCACGATGAGCGTCAGTTTCTTTATTTTCAAAAGGGAAGGAAGGAAGGAAAATGAGAGATGGATAGTGATTAAGCACTTACTATGTCTGAGGCTCTATGCTAAGCAATAGGTATACAAAAATAAGCAAAAAGCAAGAATCTCTCCCTCAAGAAGTTACATTCTAATGGGGGAAAGAAATAACAGCAATAAAAAAGTGAGATGAAAAAGTATGGGGTCTGGGGTGGGGTGGGGAGCAAGGTATAGAAGGAGTCCAGGTAGGCATGGGCTGAGCCAGGTTTGAAACAAAGCATGGTTGGCATAGATGCTTCCTCAAATGGATGATCAGGGACAAATTCACCAATCAGAGGATTAATCAACTGTGGATAACTATACCTGAATTACCTTCCTGACAGGATGGATGGGAGAATCAACTCTAATGATGGATATGAAAATGTATTAAGTAGAAATCCCTATACCAGGGTGAGAGATTACTATTGCTCCAATGAGGACAGAGAGGTAATGTGATGCAATGAGTAGAAAGAGTATTGGATTTGGTATCAGGAACCCAAGGCTATACTGCTTCCTAGCTCTGTAGGACTGTATGTAACACCATTTCGCTGGACTGTGATCTTGTCATCTCTAAAAAGACAGGCAACCTATGGGATGCAGTGGATAGAGCGTTAGCCTTAGAAACAGAAAGACCCAGATTTGAATCTTGCCTCAGAAACTTATTAGCTGGGTGACCCTTGGCAAGTCATATGACCTCTGTTTGTCTTAGTTTCCTCATTTATAAAATAGGAATAACAATAGCATTTGTCTCACAAAACAATTGTGAGGATCAAATGAGATAACATAAGGAAAGTGTTGTATATAGATACCAGCTATTGTTATATTATTTTTAAAGTATTCTCTAATATTTTGTCCAGCTCTAAAACCAATGGATCAGTCAGGGTAAAAGTTTTAAAATAGGTAAAATGTTTTCTCAGTAGTCCCCCTCTTTCCATTATCCTCTAAAGTAGACCTCTTTTCTAAAGTCGCAATCATCTTTGACCATTCTTCCACGACCTGTCACTCAAGTTGACTTCCTATCTAGAATGGAGTTCCAAATTCTTGACCCTACATTCCCGAGCCCCTCAAAAACTGCCCTTTTGGAATTTTCTCCCTCGGAGTCAAACCTGTCTACTAGCTACTCTTACAAACTC